AAAAAAAAAAAAAAAAACAAAAGGAAAATAAAAAAACCATAAAAGAATGGTCCAACTTATTTGACCGTTGAAACCAGCTGTATTCTGAGACAACCTCAGAGATCGTGTCATCTCATGGGCACATTTTGGCTTTTGTCTTAAAAATCTTCAGAAATTTTAATCCAATTATCTCAAGAAACAAACAGCAGACCCTAACGGCTACCAACAAAGTGGTTTTCTTTATTCGAGGCACAAAAACTACGGGACTGTAAAAAAGTCACATCTAATAAAACCAAAAACAAATAAATAAATAAATAAATAAATAAGATGCTACAGTCCCGTTACAGAACTATTCCATCGGCAATTGTAACCATTAGATCATTATATAACTGTCGGGGACAGTTGTCTAATGGTTACAAACCCGACAAAATAATTCCGTAAGATTTTCCAATAAATAAAAGCAATAATAATAATAATAAGATGAACAGGAACATTAGATGACAGAATGAAAGATGATTTTGCAGCCGTAGGATTCACCTGACATTAACTTTTATTGTGATTGATGCCCAACCATTTTTTCCTCTCCACATTAAATATCATTCTTCACTCGCTAAAACCCTGCATTTGCCTGTAAATTCTTGGCAATAAATTTTGGTTTTCTCTCGAGCACCATTATTTTTACTGTGTCTTTGTGGAATTTTGGTGTCTAAGAAAGGAGGGCTGAGCTATAATGACTCCATTTTTGCTCTTTCTGGTGGCTTTAGTAGCTTCAGCTGTCTCTGCTGATGAAGGTGAGTTCAAAATATGTTCTTGCTGTCTGCTAATGATGGGCTCTTTGTATTTTTACATTTTATTGTGCCTTTCAAGATTTTTGTGGGTTTTTCAGTTGGGTATGTTTTCCTTTGTTGATGAATTGAAATAAAAATACATTCTTGCTGCCTATTTTGCTTACTGAAAAGGCTTTATTTTTCAGTTTTATCTGTTTATGCTTATTTTATGTTGGGCTCTTTGTAGTTGTTTCATATATCTGTTCCATTTTATTGTGCCCTTCAAGATTTTTGCAAGTTTTTTTTCTGTAGAAAAAGTTGAGTTTTGCTGATGAATTGAAATAAAAATACATTCTTGGTGTTGTCCATTTTTGCTTCCTGAGAAGGGCTTGTTTATAAGTTTGTGCTTATTTAATGGTGGCTTCTTGTGTTTGTTTGCTTGAGTTCTTAATTTAATTTGGAGTTTTGTAAGTTACAATCTGGAAGGTTGTGTGTTGGAGTTTATCTTAGCATTCATTAACATTTTGCCCAAAAAAAAAAAAAAAAAACTGAGGTTTATTTTTTAATTAACCTAACCATTTTCATCATGAGATCTGCATTTTTAGCTTCTTGATGAATGTTATAAATTCCAGCAACCAACTTTTATTTCTGATGCTTTACCTCTTCTTAGGATTACTTATCTTTCGAGATTCTCAAAGAAAAATGTTTGCCTTTATGTGATATAGTCCAAGGATATGTTGAGAGTGTACCTTTAATCTTGTTCTTGCATCATGTGTTTTGTTTTTGTGTGTTTTTTCCAAATTAGAACCATTCTCTAATCTCTCTCTCTCTCTCTCTTTCTCTCCACACAGACCCGTTCATCGGTGTAAACATCGGGACTGACATGTCGGACGCTCCCCACCCGACCCAGGTGGCGGCCCTCCTCAAATCCCAAAACATCCGCCACGTCCGCCTCTACAACGCTGACCGAGGCATGCTCGCCGCCCTCGCCGGCACCGGTATTCGCGTGGCCATCTCCGTCCCCAACGACGAGCTCCTTGGCATCGCCCAGTCGAACTCCACCGCTGCCAACTGGGTCTCCCGCAACGTCGCCTCCCACTACCCCGCCACCAACATCACCGCCGTCTGCGTCGGCTCCGAAGTCCCCACCGCCCTTCCCAACCTCGGCCCCATCCTCGTCACTGCCCTCTCCCACATCCACTCCGCCCTCGTCGCCTCCAATCTCGACCGCTACGTAAAAGTCTCCACCCCACTCCCTTCCTCCCTCATCCTCGACTCATTCCCTCCCTCCCAAGCCTTCTTCAACCGCACGTGGGCCCCGGTTTTAGTCCCCCTCTTGAAATTCCTCCAAATGACGGATTCGCCCCTCATGCTCAACATCTACCCGTATTACGACTACGTCGGCTCCAACGGTGTCATCCCGCTCGACTACGCCCTCTTCCGACCGCTCGCCCCGAACAAGGAGGCGGTTGATGCCAACACTTTGCTACACTACACCAACGTGTTCGATGCGGTGATCGACGCGGCCTACTTCGCTATGGCCGACCTCAACTTCACGAGCGTGCCCGTTATGGTGACCGAGACGGGCTGGCCTTCGCAAGGCGGGCTTGACGAGCGCGACGCTAACATGGAGAACGCTAACACGTACAACAGTAATCTCATACGACACGTGGTCAACCGAACGGGGACGCCCAAGCGCCCCGGAATGGCTGTTAGTACTTATATTTACGAGCTCTATAACGAGGATCTGAAGCCCGGCCCGGAGTCGGAGAAGAACTGGGGGCTTTTCGATGCAGATGGGAGGCCGGTTTACGTGCTGCACGTGACGGGGTCGGGCTCGGTTCTTGCAAACGACACGACGAACCAGACGTACTGCGCTGCTAAGTCAGGGGCTGATGAGAAGATGCTGCAGGCAGCGCTCGACTGGGCTTGTGGGCCTGGGAAGGTAGACTGCTCGGAGCTGATGCAGGGGCAGTCGTGCTACGAGCCTGACACAGTGGAGGCGCACGCGAATTACGCTTTCGATGCGTATTATCACCAGATGGGGAAGGTGCCCGGAAGTTGTGATTTTAATGGGGTGGCTACCATAACCACAACCAACCCAAGTAAACGAATCATATATACAAACATATAAATGTTCCGATTTTGCTTTCGGGTTACCCCCCCCCTTTTTTTTTTTTACAGCTAACTAATGTGATTTGTTTGTTTTGATTGACATTCTTGCAGGTCATGGTCGATGCGTATACCCTGGAAGGTACGTCTATATCCATGAAATAGCTGTACAATTTTAATATGCTCATGATTTATATAATGTTTTTCGGATTGCAAGTGTTCTAC